TGGGGAGCTTTCCGCTGATCAAGCTCAGCTTGTGTAGTGGCCGGTGCCCGACTACGTAGACACCTTACGATTGAGTGATCGTGTCTTTCGCTCCAGTAGCGGGATCCAATGAGCGGAAGCCGTACTCCATACGAGGGTCTAAGACCGAACGTTGATACGAAGGCATGAGAGCTAACCTGTGGGCAGCCTCTAATTGCTGCTCCTGTACCGCGTCGAGGTGATTGATAACAATACCACTTCCCCCGGAAGCCGAGAGGTTGGGGAACGGACATGGTGTCCGCAAGGTTTGAGCTAGGCTCACGTCGCGCCGTTAGTGCAACTCCTCCTCCTCGTCTTCTTATGCTGAGAAAGAAGTGTCCGACTCCTAGTCACTTCCTTCAACTCCTCGACGAGAAAATTCGTCGCCCGGGGCGGGCGCGTTGTGTTGCGCTCGGTTGCCGGGGGTTTGGGATGTGCTTCCCGAGAAGTCGCGGACGTACTATCCGGTTGCAGAGACGAAGAAGGGCTCCACCGGGCGCACTCGTACCCAGCGAGTCTGGGTGTTTGTTGTGTCATAAACAGATCGGTTATTGTGCAGAGAATGCGTTAAGACGGTCGAAGGGACGTAAAGGCGTCTTAGACACGCGAACCTCGTAATGTGAATCGTGAGTATTCTAAATTTTGATTAGGGAGAGTGTAACGGGTTTGCACGTAACCTTGTATGAAACGGCGTGTCGCACAAGATGGTGTGACCGTACATAGGTGGTGTGACCGTACATAGGTGTGGATTACACAAGTTGGTGTGATGTGTCTACACCGTAACAAGAATCCACTACGTGGCAGAATTGCCAGTAGTTATGCATATTAATCAGTGTTTTTCTATTTAATAAGAATTATCTAGTGATTTAGATATGTGGCTTTGCCTCAAATAAACAGATAAGTACAGGTTCCAATTTGAACGAAAGAGTGCATTTTCCTTGGGTCAAGGTTTAGGGTAATCTTGGAGGTAGCGGATTGCGATCCGCTACACTCTGGTTAAAAACGCAAGGACGGTGACCTTAGCTTACCTCCCTCAAAGCTAAGAGCTAAGGCTGCTCCGCTGCACCCTTCGATACCCCCGCGAAGTGGTTCCTGATTTGGATTGTTAAACTCAATTGACATGCTGATAATCGCATGACAAAACTTTGCAGCAAACTTGGCGACATCATATCAAATCCTCCGCTAATAATTTCCATAACTCAGTGTAGCTAATTACTTAAAAATTACACTGCAAATTTCCACAGACCACCATTCGGATATCAATGAAATTTTGCAACGCGTTGCTTCATACCATACTTTTTCTAGTAGTTTTTTAGCTTTAAGCGTTTCCTGAGCCATCCGTAGCATTAAATACAGCTTTGACCTAGAGACAGCCACATCGTCCGTACTACCGCCTTGTTTCGATATAATAGAGGGGTATGTCTCTGTCATCGATACGTCTCGTGCCGACACTGCTCCATCTGTGCTCGCATCTACAATAATAGACGATGTGTCCGATAGATTCGTTATAGACGCGTCTAATAGCCCAATTCATGTCCTTTTGCTGCCTGATCTGGACACAATGACTTTACATTTCGGCGACTTCTTCACAAGACTATGGCGAATGAGCTCTAGCTCGTTGATTAGCGCTCGAATACTTATCTGTTTCTTGAGGACTCGTCTTGTAGCTCCACTACACAAACACGCATCCTGTTTAGCTAATTGGATTCATTCGAATCTCAATTTCGACTCAGAATTTCTCCATTGACTTCTTGAACTACCTCGTCGTTTATGCGTGTTATATTCACTGCTTCAATTGCGGACAAGCTTAAGAAATGCTGCATAGCTTAGTCTAGGTTCGTTTAAATTGCCCCCTTGAT